CGACTCATTGGAATGATGACATTACACCTGCGGATGTAGAAACCGTTAGACGGTTAGAAAGGAAAAAAAAACAACAATAAGGCACACACAACGCAGTTGAGGGCGAGTGCAAACAAAAATAAGGATGCTCATAAATTCCTTCGGCGACCTCCCAGATTCTTGATCAAAAAAGCAAGACCAAACACAACAAAAATTCATATCTTGGGTGGAGTCATTGTTCACTATACAGTATGTGATACGCCTGCCAGCCAACGCAGGTATTATTGATCTCAGATATAGGTTTGGTAAACCGACATCATCGATGACAAAAGTGGCAGCTCAGTTTGCCCTCCTGTGGTTGAAAAGGCAGTAAAGAAGCAGAAATACATGGTCTAGAGAAGAAATATTCTTTTCCGCCTATTTCGTGAGTAGTTACTAAATTGTAGCCGTGAAGGCGCTTTTACAAACTAAGTTTGGTTTAGTAGCCTGGTGGTCGTGGGAGGTTCTGCGCATCCCTCACAATCGCACCCGCACTGTTGATGGGCGTGATGCCCCAGAGACGATGACGCCAGTAACAGAAAACAAAATAGAAGAAGAAGACAATGGGGCCGACAATGGAGATGTTCGCCACAGTCAATAGCTTCTTCACCGTGAATTTTTGATCTACCGGCACCTTATCCAGCTTGTCTTCAAAGATGGACAACTCTTCACTGTGTTCCTTCCAGCGGCGATAGGACCAACTGTTAATTGGATGGCTCTTTACTCACATCCCAGTAACTTCGTTCACGCAGAGCGTCTTTTTTGAGTGTCTTATTGAACGCATAAAGGCGCTCTGCATTAACTCTACGTGCTGCGCCTTTTCTAACAAATATAGACATATATTTATTCCTTGCCTTTTTTGTATACTTGATTTTTTATTCCTTTTTCACTTATTGTTGATTTTTGAGTCCCAGCAGCAGTGCAAAGAAACAACAACAGTAAATAAAATTTAAAATTAGTACATAAAGTTGTAGGAGGAGGGCCCAAGACACCAGGATAGATGTGCAAAACAAAAAAAAAGCCATACGCTTGAGAAGGTCGCTGTGAAGCAGTTATTAACTCAACACTTGTATTTTTCAGTTATTTGGTCATGAAAGGGCTCTCATAATGTTACCTCTCCCAACTTGGCGAGATGCGATTGGCTCTTTAAATGTCTATCCCATGCCTTCACGGCAATGTGCCTTCGACACACCCTACACATCACTCGTCCAGCAGTGTATGGTTCGCTGCACTCGTCTCGCGATACATGTCGAGGAGGAACACAGCCGTTCCTTAGGTTTCGTGGATCCTCCATCCTCTCATGCTTCTCTGGATATCCAGGAAAGTGTTGGTCCAGAAATTCTTGAAACCGATTTCTATGGCGAGCCTCATACAATTTCTTAAATTCCTCGTAGGACTCAGTAATAAAAGTTTTCTCTCCAGGAAGCACCTTCCCAGATGCATCACGCCGCTTTCGCCATTTAAAACCATATGGCTTGCATAGGTCTTCTATAAACTTTTGTTTCGCCGGATCCAGACGCATTTTGTCGTGTGCATCGGACTGATTAATGTGCATCAGCGTTCCACTGAGACGCTCAAATGGTGTGGCATCTAAGCCAATGTATCCTCCCTTGTGCACATCAAGTGGGGGCACAGCCCCGTGCGCCTTGAGGTAATCACGAAGAGTGCGGAGAGACTCCTCCCACGGATATGGTCCCTGCATACCATAACTGCGCCATAGCGGAAGTGACTCCAAATCCCGAATCTGGTACAACTTCAGGTAAGAGTGCTCGTTGTTTATGTACTGGCGATATCCCTTTCGTACATAGCGGTAAAATAGAGCCATAGAAACTGATTGTTTACCAATTACCCAGGCATCGTTCGTTTTTGGATATCGGTTACACTCCAAAACAATACGCTTCAGTTCACCAAAGGCAGATTTCCACGGTATACGTGCAGCCCTATGTAGTCTATCGGTTTTTTGACTGCTATATCGGACCCCTCTTCGGATGGCGGGAAGAACAAACTTCCGTAATCGCTCAGTAGACAGTTTAAGGGATCTCAGACCCACCACGTCAATGTCGTAAGAAACTTTCTGAGGATCTATCAGATACTCAAATAGAATGGGATCCTCGTCCATTAACGCGTCTGTAAAGGGAATCAGAGTAGAAAATTTCTTAAGATTAACGGGATGAGCCTCGGGTAACTTATTATCGATGGTAGCTGGCAGAAAGACATAAGATTTCGGTTTATTTTCCATCCTATTGAGTGGTCGGCAAATACTCTGAATAATATCACGGGAACTGTATCTTGGCGCAGCAAAAAAAACCGCATTAAGGTCAGGTATCTCCACACCCTCTTGAAATAGGCGAACATTCAATAATATACAACGCTTTGAGACAGAAAAATCATGCAGAGTATTTGCAACAGCTGTGCCTCCCATTCTTGAATGCGCAAGCATAACACTAAATGGGACAACGTCGCCTGGGAAAGGGCACTGTAAACGTGCTGTAAGTTGTATGGCGTGTTCAATACTTTGACAGTAGACAATCATCTTATCTACAATCCGCATGGCTTCGTAGAAGTACGGATTCATGTCATCCATGTTTTCTCCTAGAATAATTCGTAATGAGAAGGCATTAACGTATCCATTGTCAATCCCTTCTCGTAAATAGTACCGGTATGCTATTCCACCAAAAAGATGTGTATTGTCCATTTTTATAGGTGTATCATAGGCAGGAGTCGCGGTGAGAAATAAGCGTTTTCCAGAACGTGGTTGGAAAAGAACACTGTTAAAGTTCGTTACTGAAGCACTTCCACAAACGCGATGACATTCATCAAACACGGTTAGGTCAAAGCCCGAAAGTTTTGATAGAATATGTGATGAGTGATAGGTACTAATAATAACCATTTGTGATGAGGACCCCTTCAGGGCACTTTCCACCACCTCTGCATCAGTCGTCATCATCAGGGACTGCCCATTACCAAGCAATACAGAGCTAGGATAAGAGCCAATAAGAAGATATTTAATTTCCCTTAGTCCATAACTGTACAATTTTATTGCTGTTTGTCGGAGTAACGTTAGCCCCGGCACAAGATAAAGTACTTTTGCATCTTGTTTTCGCTGTAAACAATGCTCTATGAGTTTAAATGCAACGGGAGTCTTCCCACATCTGCAGGCCATTTGGCAGATGGCGACACCACTACTCTCAAGTTCCTCATTACACCGTGCGACGGCTTCTTGCTGATATGGGCGAAGTGCGGTTAAAGAAAAAGATTCCTCTTTACATGACTCCAAAATGTCAAAGTTGTATTCCACATCCTCCTCATTGTCATCAAAGGTCTCTCCCCCCTCCACAGTTACATTATCACATACCGAACACGCATGTATAGACTGACGTAGTTTCTCTAGTAGTTCAATGTACTTCCCAAGAGTTGTTGATTTTAGAGCATCACGTGTCGGGGGGGCATCAAAAAAAGACACTTTTCCACTCTTATCACAAACAATTCTTTCACTCAAGTTGTAGTTTGGCTCCATATTAACTATTGCGTTGAGGTTCAACGCGGCACAAACACGCCGCGCCCCATCTACGACATCCATAGCATGCCCCTGAATCAATTCACGCTGAGAAACACGTCTATCCTTAAAGAGAAAAAGCACTGCTTGTTCCAAAAGAAAAGCTTCCTTGATGCTCTCCAACTCAAAAACAGCAAAATATGACCACTCAGGAGTGAAACACGTCGTAAACGAAGCCATTTCAAGTCGGCAAGAAAGGTTTGCTGTGTAGCCCACCTTTACATACCCCGATTCCTTCAGCCACGGATGCATGGCAATATAAAAACCATACACACAACTGAGAAGCCTACTCCGGCTAGCCATTTAATGTCCTTCTTGTTGTCTATTATTGTTTATTGTTGTTGTTGTTTGCCCAAGATTCAACAACAACACAGGAAAAGAAGCATTATCATCAGCTGTTGTTATTGTTGTTTTTCTTCAAAAATAAAACGTAAACACAAATGCATATTACAAGTCTAAAAAAAAAACATGCAACCACAAAAAAAAAGTCAAGACTAAAATTGGATGAGTAAAAATAGTTCGTGCATATCTATCAAGTCAATAATGATGAGAAAAACACACACAGAAAAAGAAATACATTTATCTATGACTGCATATAGATGCATTTTCAGAGACAGGTACTCCACTTATATATTGCTTCCCCGACAAAACAAAAAAAATGGCACTAAGGCCTGGGCGACAAGGAAATATCCTCGGCAACGCTGAGTGCAAGAAATAGACGATCTGAGACAAAACCATCCTGCATCAAGGGAAGCTTCACGCCTGTCAAATCGCACGTGTAGGACCCAAGTGGTTTATCTCCTTTTAACGCTAGCTTACTCTCATTGAGAAAAATTGTGGAAAGCGAAGAATCAAATAACGAGTCACGATAACACGCAACGAATTGTTCAGCAAAACGCAATGATGACGATCCACCATGCTCCTTTTCCCATCTCAGCTTTACAAAGGCGAAGATCCACACCGCCGCAAAGTCAACACACTTGTTAACACGAAGAAATTTTTCACACTGATTTATTATGGAGTCGATAAACTGCCTCGTTGTTTCTTTTTTGAGATTAATCACACACCTTTGCTCAACTCTCCGGTGAGCCTCTTCCCTCAGTGTCTGTAATTCTTTTTGCAAAGTTACCTGTGATGTTTTTAGAAGAATATCCTTCTTAAGCAACAGTTGTTGAGCTTCTTCTTTCAGCCTCAACCAGAGATCAAGGGCTGCACCGATTACACTGATGTAACAGTAAAGCATAACTGGAATGGGAAGGGCACATTGTTCACACTCTTTAAGACGACATTTCATGTCCTGCACGGCGTCTCTTGTTTGTGGATCACAAAAACAAAGAGGAGAAAGACGTGTTGAAGTTATTGTCTCGATGTGGGCGACATGTTTACCTTCTACCAAAAGTAAAAAGAGATTCAATTCCCTGTGTAATGACGCCATTTTATCATCCAACTTTTCCCCACGTAGCACAGTTTTCAGGAGCTTTTGCGCTCTAGCATAAGCTCCCTTTGCAGTATAAGCTATGGCCAGTTCAACTAATGCTGTCTGGTGTTCCGAGGAAAACCGCCCATAACGAAGCATGGCCAACGAGGCAGCCAGCGCAAAGAACGGACTCCAAGCCTCCAAATCAGTGATATACTCCCCGTCAAAACACTCAGTACACCTCACTTTCGCCACAAGGGTGTTGTACTTTTCCTCGGGACTCATTGAAGTATCGGCGGCAACGATTTCACACCAGCACGCACATTCCGTTTCCTTCTCCCATAACGTCATCGCAGAATTAGAACACACCATTCCACTACCTTTTTTGGATGCACCACTCTGCCGAATACTCGTTTGAAGTGTACTCAAAAGAACCTTGCGCCGCACCAAAGCTTCTAAAAACAAATCGCGCTCTTCGCACTTCAACATGACTTTTGGCTAGCCCTGTAATTCGCTTTATTTTATAACAGACAAAAATTAATGACATATGACGTGTAATAATGGCAACAACCATAGTAATAGCAAAAGATTTCAATAAAGGTTCAAGGGAATAACTGTGAGCAGCAAATTCCCTGTTTCTGCACAAGGCAATTCGCCAAGGAAAAAGCCACTCGCCCCCTGCCCCCTCCCAACGGAGCGGAGCAAAGGCTCGGGCCCACCGTGGGTGCAGCGACCCGCCACCCAAAAACCCGGCGAAGAAAAACCACCGCAACTCACACAAACGCTTTGCGCGTTCCTTCCCACACGCACGAGGCACTCGCAACGCGCCCGAAACAGCACACAAAAAAAAGAACGCGCAGCACTGGCTGCGGCCGTCTGCGTCTGGCCGCCTTCCTTTGGAAGGGGGCGAAGGATTCATTTTCCTATCGTTACTGTGGCGGTGTGATTTATATATATATATATTTGTATCCTGTTATGGCCGCGCATTGTTTATTGGGAAAAGAGACGTACTGTGTTTTTTGCCGAATAATATACGTTGGCACTATATTGTTTGTTTGGTTGCTACCGTGTATTCTTGTCGTTTTGTTGTTGTTGTTTTTTGTACCTGAGACGTGATGGTGTGCACATGGGATGATGTGTAATTATGAAAGCATTTGTAAATAAATACGTAAATAAGGTTGTACGTACAAGGTGTATTGGGGATTCTGCATTATGATATTATTTACTGTTGCATTTATTTTTATCACCATTTTCTTGCTTTTGCGTAGAGTTTACCCAGTGAGGGGGGCTTTTACTTTGCTTTTAATATTATTATCATTATCTAACTTTTATTATGTTATTGTTACTGTTGCAATCTATGTTGTCATATTATTGTTATTGCAAAGTAACATTTTTTTTCCCATTTCTTTATTGTTTACACCCCCCC